TGAAGTAGATCGTGGTCATTCAGTGAACCGACAGACGGTGTCAATTTTGTCATTAAAAGGTGAAGCAAGTGCGTAGTAACGTGAGTGAGCTAGTGATGATCATACTTGGTCATATATGATAGCAAACTACGTAGTATAGAAGTAGATTCTTAAATACGGTGCTATAGTTGCAATATAGTCGAGTAGTATAGAAGTAAATTTAGTTCTTTTGAAAAATAACCTACGGACAAAATCGTATATGCGTTTTGTGAGAAGATAGGTCATACTGAATACGCTTACTTTACAAAGAAATAATCTGAATTAGGCTAACGCAAGTTTTCGCCGTGACTTGGACTAGTGATAATGCACATCGCGACGAAATTATCGCGCCGTAATATGCGGGTACCCACAGATGTTTAGTACGATAGTGGTTCAACAACTTTTAAATCAAAATGATCGTTTTCGTGTTGTAAGATGCACATATTATGCTGTTTAGACGAAACGGATATGCGGTCTGATTATACCCACAAATGTTTAATACGATAGTAGTTCAACAACTTTTAAATCAAATGATCGTTTTTGTGTTGTAAGATGCACATATTATGCTGTTTAGACGAAACGGATATGCGGTCTGATTATACCCACAAATGTTTAGTACGATAGTAGTTCAACAACTTCTTTTAAATCAAATGATGGTTTTCGTGTTGTAAGGTGCACATATTATGCTGTTTAGACGAAACGGATATGCGGTTTGATTACTTTCTTACTTAATCTGCAAAATTCATAACATCTCACAAGAAGTAACTTCTTAGTACCTTGTGATTATCTTAAAGACGTCGGTACTCATTGGTAATGATATTTTTAATATTGAAAAGACATTGCGTATACGAAATAACGATTTTTAGCGTATTTTTAGAAACCGCTCTTTTGAAAATAATATAGCGCGTAGTGAATCGATAGCGCGACTTCAATTGATAAATACACCGTTCCGTGGTGATGAAAAAGAAAATTTGTAGTCTTAATGAATAAACATTCTGAATACTTTTTAGTGGCTCAGTCACAGCTATGGTCAATACCGTATAGAGATACACATTCGACTACTTGTTAACGAAGTAGCGTTATGTAGGTACGACGGTTAATTACCGAATCGACCATATAAATTATTTTACAGTTATAAATTAAGCATGCGTGTGAAAATCCAGGTTTACAATTCATTTCCGCTAAGTGTAATTACCTCGCTCCTGAGGTTGTGTATACTAGGAGACTGGAACTATTTGTAAGAGTCAGGTCAGGCCGAACGTATCCAAAAAGAAATGATGGATTCTTCGTTCAAACAAATTTCAATTTGAGCATTTCATTCATTCATCAAGTAATACTTATTTTTGAATCTTCCGCGTGAACTATCTTATCGTATAAGGAACGAGCGAGGAAGACTAAGTCTGTTGCTTTTTTGAACACTTGTGGTAACTGTACATTTTAAGTTCAAATGTGTGAATACAAACTGCGAATTAGTACTAAATCATTAAAATCTAAATATTAAATACGCAATCAATTGGTTGATTAAGTAAATAAGATTAAAGCGGTGTTAGAGTAGGAAAGTCTCTACAAGCAGTCCTCGTTCATGTGTATGACGGACAGAGAAAATAAACGCCGTAGTAGTTTTGGATACCAAAAACTGTCGAAGCTGCTTGTTGCGGAATACGATGTTGTCGGTTGAGACGATGTATAATAAAAATGAACTGATCAAATGCAAACAATATCATTTAAGGAGAGCTGACATGGTTTGTGCAATATTTAGTTGATATTATTTAGTGATACTGGTCAGTATATCTTATTCGGTATATCCCGTGATACACCCAAATCGCCTCTTGAAATTTTAACGGGGAAAAGAATAGAAACTAGAGAGATGAGATCATCTCTATATTGGCTAGTCAATCCGCGTTGCTTATCTTTGACCATTTACGGACTGAAGTCCATACGGATGCAAGTGCACTAGGTTACGGTACTAATTCAAATAGGAAAAGACGGACGTATACACGCAGTAGCTTTACAATATGTGCAGATCCAAGGTACTACTCCTGAGCTCGAGATACTTGCTGTTGTCAAGGCATTGCAACATCGTCATCTCATCGGAAAACATTTTAGGGTAGTAACTAACTGCAACGCCCTGAAAATTATAAGAGGATCTCTTGCCTAGGGTAGTGCGCTGGTGAATGTGCCTACAGGATCGTGATTTGACGTTTGAATATCGTAAAGGTTAGTTCATATCACACGCATCGAAATCCTTTTAATAACCTCACGAATCGTAGTAGCATATGCTGCTGATGATGAAACTACTTGTACAAGGGCAGTTGAATAGTTTGCGATATATAAAGAAAATAAATCTTAAAGAAAATAATTATTAACATATCTCTATAGGAAAAAGTCGCGATTATTGTTATATTTCTAAAGACTACGTGTTGACCATATTGACGTGGAAACGTTGTCGAGTTCAAATTAGTTGACGGTTTCAAAGTAGGGTCCATCTTGTAAAGAAATACTATAGAGCACGGAATTGTTTGTTTAATGTGTAAACATGTTACCTTATACTTTATATCACGTTCCTCTCCACCCAATGTCCAGGTCCACTATACTTTCAATACCTTATGATGCAGTACATAAAATGTAACGAATACAAATATATTCTCGTACACTCAAATGCTTTCTCTATTGTTCTAATCTATACAGAGTCAAAATAGAGTAGAGTCAAAAAGGAATTTGAGTTTTTCTAATATAATTTGTATTTTTGAGATAAATTTTATCGTAAGGTATTTAGGTAACACCTCGTGTAAGGCTTTGTGCAGCATCGAGCGTGTTATAGGATACACCTCGTGTAAGGCTTTGTGCAGCGTCGAGTGTGTATTAGGTAGCACCACGCATAAGGCTTTGTGCAGCATCGAGGGTGCTAAAGGATACACCTCGTATAAGGCTTTGTGCAGCATCGAGTGTGTTATAAGATACACCTCGTGTAAGGCTTTGTGCAGCATCGAGTGTGTTATAAGATACACCTCGTGTAAGGCTTTGTGCAGCATCGAGTGTGTTATAAGATACATCTCGTGTAAGGCTTTGTGCAGCATCGAGTGTGTTATAAGATACACCTCGTGTAAGGCTTTGTGCAGCATCGAGTGTGTTATAAGATACACCTCGTGTAAGGCTTTGTGCAGCATCGAGTGTGTTATAAGATACATCTCGTGTAAGGCTCTGTGTAGCGTAAAGTGTGTTATAGGTTACCTCTCGTATAAAGCTTTGTGTGGCTTCTATGTATACAAGCTTAGATCAGATTTAAATTAGTCCTTGTGAGGCAACGTGATCCTACTTCCAAAAATAAAATGCTTACCACTAACTTATGGTTCACAGGTTGTGAAGAGTCACTGTTGACTCGTCTCCGAGCAATAGCCCTGAGAATACTTTCAGCCTGGACAGAGCGCATAAGATTAGCAGTCGGACCAGACGACGCGCCGTGACCAGAAAGCATCGGGGACGATGCTCCGTCAGGAGAGGCCGTGTTAGGTGTAACTTCCTGTGGTGGCGCCACCGTCGTGCGGCGCGTCTATAAAAGGCTGCGAAACCCGGTGTGCGGCCTTTTTTGGTCGACAGACGTGCTCTCGAACGAATCTCCGTATCATACCGTGTTTGCTTTATAAATTCTTTTACTGATTTTGTTAAAATTAATTATACGATTTGTTATCAGTTTCTTTTATTTAATTAAATTTAGAGGGTATTCCTAACAATATATATAACTTAAATGTTATCATATTCTTTACGTATTTATTTATTTAACTTCAATGCACGAAAACAATTTCAACATATGGCGGACTTAACACCTAGTTGCCTGATAGATAACGCCACACGTTATCTACCAGGCAACCATGAGTGGTTCAGAGAAAGATTGTTGGCGGTGCGAAAATGTCAAAAAATATATAAGTCAAAATGTATATAAATTTCATTTATCAAATACATATATAAATATATAGATAAATACTTAATGTTCTGACAATAAAAAATAACATAGGACTAAGTGTTTTCCGAAATGAATTAAATATTAAAATCGATTAGGTCCTACTATTACTTACTTGTTCCAGCACGGGATTTTATTGTATAAATACGTTAAACATAATTAATGACTTGAATAAATAACACATTAAATTAGTAAACAAATTACCCTCGAAAATTAACACAGCGCCATCTAGTCTCACGATAAGCAGAGCTTATGTTATGGGTACTAGACAACTGATACAAATGCTTAGATATTTTATTTTTGTCAATACGTACATAACATACATAGAAAACACCCAGACGGATATAAACAATCATACTCAAGATTACAAATGTTTACACCGTGCAGGGAATCGAACCCGCGATCATTGGAATTAAAGCGGTGTGCTAAACCGCTAGATCACCGAGACTGTCCAAAAAAACTATGCGACATCGATAAACATCATTATCATTGCAGCATAAGACTCAAAATAGATTAAGCAAGTTCTCCGTGTTTCTGTTATCTGCTCTTATTATACTATATTAAAAAACTTTGGGCGGCCTGTACTAAACTTTGAAACGATTTTTATTTTAATAATGAAATACACTATGTTCATGACTGATTTCCTCTTATTAATTGTTTAACCAGTTGTTGTGTATTCAATATTTTTTCTATTTGATTATTTAGTTGAATTAGTGCTAATTGGTAATTTGTATCCACACACTTAAACTTAAATTGTAAAGTAAACATAAAATTATTTAAAAGAGCAACACACAAGTTTCTTGCTCGTTATTCTTGTGATGAGACAGCTTTCCGAATAAGCGGTAGATTAAAAAAAATCTGATGACTATACAAAAGTGCTTCAATGTAAGTTTATTTGAATAAATGTTTTTCTATTATTCTATTCTTTTCTATGGAGTTTGTGTTAACTGCTAGATCATCGAGGCCGTCATAGATACAAGAGTAGTCCAAACATTTATCTATGGATTCATTAACTTTTACTTACCTTAGATACAAGAACTCCAATTTACATCCTGCAACAAATGAAATTTATACTTAGTTATAATTAGTAGCATGTATTTAATTATGATTACATCATGATATTTTACTATGTTTTTTATCATCCTCTAGATTAGATATCGCTGTGATTACCTACACATGCTCTTCATAACACAATAGGTAATAACTTTTTTGTTCGATTGGAATAAACTGTTAAAGTTATGGGATAATACAGCAATAAAAACTGTATTTAAATGGGTTAAACCTTTTCTAAGATCATTGTACAAATCTGAAAATATGAATATAATAGAAAAATAAATGATAATAGAAAAAAACTTAAAAACTTTCTTTTTACTTGCAAGTACATTAAAATAATACTTTGACATTTATATTCAATAAATTTTATAACAAATAAGTACTTTCTATACCATCTAGGCTAAATATATCTAAAACGCATGACGTAGGTACCCAACATATGTTTATCTCATAATGCATGTTTTACAAATAGAATCTAGTATCTCAAATCTCGAATCTCAAATTTCAAATCTCGGATCTCGGATCTCAGATCTCGAATCTCGAATCTTGGATCTGTTATCTCGGATCTCTAAATTCAAAACTGGAAATTTGAATCTCAAATCCCAAATCTTGAAAACAACTTGCAGTATAGGTTGCTAGCGTCTGAATTAAGGAAGATAGATGTACGCAGATGATACTCTACAAGTCTTCCTCTCTGTTATACATTTTGTTACGTTTCCTTTAGATTCTACATACCTATCCACCGCGGTATTCAATAAGGAACGCCGCCATTGTTGCGTTCGTTAAATTATTACGAATCGTTAACTCGACGGATGAAAAGAAAAAAAATGAAAGATGACGTACAATTCCCGTTTACTTCGTACCAATATTATATTGTGCATTCAAAGAGAGTGATTTAGAATTAATTAGGCTGAAATGTAAATTTACCGATATCTTTTCTTCTTTGGAAAGACATTTTTGTTGCCTTGTGAATGTGGTAGCAATTATATCTCATTACATCATACTTTTACTGAAATAATAATAATCTTGGACAACGCCTGTCGGAAATTGTCTTATACTTATACGACTTTTTTTTTAATTACTATTACGGTGCCTGTTCATATTGCGTTACAGACTGGTCTTCGATCTCCTTCCTTTACAACGCCATTTTGTCCCATAATAAGCAGAGCTTGTGTTATGGATACTAGACAACTGATATAAATATCTACATACATTTATTTGTAAATATATACGTAATGTATATACAAAACACTCAGACCGATACAAACAATCATGATTATGAATATAATTGTTTGTACTAAACGAAGAGTCGAATCTAAGACCATTGGAAGCAAAGGTGTATACTAAACCGCTAGTCCTAAATAATGGTTAGAGAGTCCCCTGAAATGAGTTACAAGTGTTGATTAAATAAATACCTACATTGCATAAATAATTATATCTACTTTATATATCGACACGTTTGTATACTAACAAAATATTGCGTTCATCCTTCAGTGTATTTGTCTATCAGATAGACCTTTTATTAAAAAAAACTCATCCGTTTCGCTATCAAAAGGTAAAAAAATCTGGTATAAAAAAATATCGTATTATATATTTATTATGCTACGATGATGGCGAACTAGCATACGGCCAACCTGATGACGGTTACGATTGACGTTTAAAATATTGATAATCAACATCTGCAAGTTCCTCTGACTTGGGATAACAGTCACGTGGTAAACAGGTAAGGGATTGATACAATATAGATTGATGGTATTATTGCTAGCAAAGTACTATGTCAGGTTGACCTCCACGCGGTTCCCCCTGGAAACCATCGAGATAAATTTGTCACGATGGGCTAACTGACCTGACCTCATGTTCATCTTATCATCCTCCACTGCTGCCTCGCCAGCGTAAACCGTTAACACAGGTAGGTGCACCATTCCATTATCATCCATAAAAAAAAACGGTGAATTTGTCACGATGGGCTAACTGACCTGACCTCATGTTCATCTTATCATCCTCCACTGGTGCCCCGCCAGCGTAAACCATTAACACAGGTAGGTGCACCATTCCATTATCATCCATAAAAAAAAACGGTGAATTTGTCACGATGGGCTAACTGACCTGACCTCATGTTCATCTTATCATCCTCCACTGGTGCCCCGCCAGCGTAAACCATTAACACAGGTAGGTGCACCTTTCCATTATCATCCTTAAAAATAAAACCGTGAATTTGTCACGATGGGCTAACTGACCTGACCTCATGTTCATCTTATCATCCTCCACTGGTGCCCCGCCAGCGTAAACCATTAACACAGGTAGGTGCACCATTCCATTATCATCCATAAAAAAAAACGGTGAATTTGTCACGATGGGCTAACTGACCTGACCTCATGTTCATCTTATCATCCTCCACTGGTGCCCCGCCAGCGTAAACCGTTAACACAGGTAGGTGCACCATTCCATTATCATTCATAAAAAAAACGGTGAATTTGTCACGATGGGCTAACTGACCTGACCTCATGTTCATCTTATCATCCTCCACTGGTGCCCCGCCAGCGTAAACCGTTAACACAGGTAGGTGCACCATTCCATTATCATCCATAAAAAAAACGGTGAATTTGTCACGATGGGCTAACTGACCTGACCTCATGTTCATCTTATCATCCTCCACTGCTGCCTCGCCAGCGTAAACCGTTAACACAGGTAGGTGCACCATTCCATTATCATCCTTAAAAATAAAACCGTGAATTTGTCACGATGGGCTAACTGACCTGACCTCATGTTCATCTTATCATCCTCCACTGGTGCCCCGCCAGCGTAAACCATTAACACAGGTAGGTGCACCATTCCATTATCAGCCATAAAAAAAAAACGGTGAATTTGTCACGATGGGCTAACTGACCTGACCTCATGTTCATCTTATCATCCTCCACTGGTGCCCCGCCAGCGTAAACCGTTAACACAGGTAGGTGCACCATTCCATTATCATCCATAAAAAAAACGGTGAATTTGTCACGATGGGCTAACTGACCTGACCTCATGTTCATCTTATCATCCTCCACTGCTGCCTCGCCAGCGTAAACCGTTAACACAGGTAGGTGCACCATTCCATTATCATCCATAAAAAAAACGGTGAATTTGTCACGATGGGCTAACTGACCTGACCTCATGTTCATCTTATCATCCTCCACTGCTGCCTCGCCAGCGTAAACCGTTAACACAGGTAGGTGCACCATTCCATTATCATCCATAAAAAAAAACGGTGAATTTGTCACGATGGGCTAACTGACCTGACCTCATGTTCATCTTATCATCCTCCACTGGTGCCCCGCCAGCGTAAACCATTAACACAGGTAGGTGCACCATTCCATTATCATCCTTAAAAATAAAACCGTGAATTTGTCACGATGGGCTAACTGACCTGACCTCATGTTCATCTTATCATCCTCCACTGGTGCCCCGCCAGCGTAAACCATTAACACAGGTAGGTGCACCATTCCATTATCATCCATAAAAAAAAAACGGTGAATTTGTCACGATGGGCTAACTGACCTGATCTCATGTTCATCTTATCATCCTCCACTGGTGCCCCGCCAGCGTAAACCGTTAACACAGGTAGGTGCACCATTCCATTATCATTCATAAAAAAAACGGTGAATTTGTCACGATGGGCTAACTGACCTGACCTCATGTTCATCTTATCATCCTCCACTGGTGCCCCGCCAGCGTAAACCGTTAACACAGGTAGGTGCACCATTCCATTATCATCCATAAAAAAAACGGTGAATTTGTCACGATAGGCTAACTGACCTGACCTCATGTTCATCTTATCATCCTCCACTGCTGCCTCGCCAGCGTAAACCGTTAACACAGGTAGGTGCACCATTCCATTATCATCCATAAAAAAAACGGTGAATTTGTCACGATGGGCTAACTGACCTGACCTCATGTTCATCTTATCATCCTCCACTGGTGCCCCGCCATCGTAAACCGTTAACACAGGTAGGTGCACCATTCCATTATCACCCATAAAAAAACAATCTCGTTGATCGCGTTGTTTGTAAGTTTTGTTCTTAAAAGTACAAATTTATTTAATTTCACCATTTAAATTCTCAAACTTGTTAATTGTGAAGAAACAATTTCCAATTAAGCAATTACGTAGTTTTCTTTGAGATATTGTGAAAGGCGTTTCACTGATTATCTTCAGTAATTTATTACAGACTTTAGTATATAATATAACAAATTTAGTTTAATACAGATTGCTTTTAGATGTAAATATAAGCAATTTAGTTAGAATCTCTTTTTATATTTTAAAGAAATTTACAATAGCAATTTATATTTTTTTAAATCAAATAAACTTAAATTCAATCACTGTGACTAGAGAATATTACAACTATTTGTTAAAATTATATATATATTACTAGTTACTCACCCCGGCTTCGCACGGGTGTACATGTATTATATATATGAACCTTCCGCCCTCCGATCGATCCCCCGTCCAATCCAACGGGGATCGATGTTACGACGGGCTTAGCCGAGGTTCGAACCCCTAGTGGTGCCCTCAGACTAAAGTCGTATAAGTCAGGTGGGAGTTGGCCTTCAGCCGCTCCATAAGTCTTTCCGCAGGTTTGGAGTGCCATCTCGCCCTATATCGTCCGGTGAAGCTGTAAAGGCCAGCTGCGGCCAACAGCATAGTCCGAAAAAAAATTGAATCACTCTATCTATTAAAGAACACAGCTTCAAAATCCGTTGCATAGTTTTAAAGATTTAAGTATACATAGGGACGGACAGACAGCGATAGTAACTTTATTTTATACTATCTATTGATTATTTTAAATAGTATTTTAACGTACAAATAAAATACAGTGTTTCATTTTACAGTAGTTAAGTACATACATAAACATCATATCTCAACGCATTGAACAATATCCCCAGCGCATTTCAACAATGAAGTGTAATCTCAAACAAGCTCACAAAACAGGATATTTAACGAAATTAAACAATTAAACTGCCT